AACTCAACAGAGAAGTTTCTGTGGTGTAAGTCACCTAGTCTATAACACTGTGTTTTAGCAATCCAAATGGACTAAGACAAATTTAGAAGCGTAATCAGATTCAGAGAATGGATGCTTATAGGAGGGTGCAATCCTGTTGGGTCATGTCAGAAGGTAAATAACATCTGGTTGCCTCTTGTGATGCTAAAACTGGCGTGTGGGAGGTTCCAATTCTGGGCCGGATGCAGTCATCACGCCCACTCTGGCTCTCCCACTGAATGCAACTAAAAAAACCCTGGATGGAATACACGCTGTAGCTATTTTTAGATACTGAAAACTAACTGGGGGCAGGCCAACTGGGGGAGATCAACATTCAAACTATGGCTGAAATGGTGGTAAGTTTGCCTTTTTCATGTTCCTTCCCAGAGTCCTAGAAATCTAGAAAGTATCAGAGAGAGGATAGAAAGGGAGGAGCTCAGGACAGCAAATCCATGGAACTGTTTATGAACTCCTAGGATGATTCCCAAGCTGCCCATCAGGGACCTGGTCCTTATCAGCTCATCAAAGATGCTGTGTTCACGGAGAGACCTCTGTCCGGGTCCCAGACTGACCGCCAGGAGGTGCACATGGAAGACAGACTCCACAGTACAGAAGAAATAATTTGGAAACTACTGCAACCACAGCCCACAGAGGAGTGGGAGAAATTTATGGACTGATCCAACAAGGTCATTTGCCTAAAAAAAGTCTAAGCATTCTCCACAGGATTTAAACACAACCCAGGGCTTTTCTGGTGCCGAGAGGTTAAGTCTCAGCTATGTCCCGAGTTGCAGCACAGCCAGGGAGCTAATCCACATATGATGCAACAAACCTCTCTGTTTCGCCTGCTGCCCCCCCTCAGCAGTTTATTTCAGTATTATCTGCCTGTTCTGCTCCCACTGTCTATGGTGAATTCTTTCACCCCACTTCCACCACCAATGCCTCTGGCCTACACCCCGGTTCTTCGATACAAAAAACATTTAAAAAATAAACAAAACCCAAAGTGTCATACCTAATAATCAAACTTCCTAGAATATGATCCAAAACTCTTGCCTTAAAAAAAACAAAACAAAACAAAAAAAAAAAAACGGGAAAATTTCAACTCAAGTGGGAAAAGATAATCAATAGACACCAATGTGAAGATAAGACATGTTGGTTTTCATGTGAGGACTTTAAAATTGTGGCTACACAAATACTCTACAAGAAATCACACTCTTGAAGCAACTAGAAAAATAGAAAATGTCAGCCAAAAAAAAAGAGAGAGAGAGAGAGAACCAAAAGAAAATTTTAGAACTGAAAAATAATACAGTACTTGCAATAAAAAAACAGTCACAGTCTAAGGGCTCAAGAGCAGAGTGGAGTGACAGAGAAAAGTAAACTTTAAAAAACATTACTAGTGGCCCTCCCTGGTGGCACAGTGGGTTAAAGCACAGCACTAAGAAGCTAAAGCCACTTCTGCATGAGTTCGATCCCTGCCTGCCCCGGGATCTACATGGCGGGGCAGGCCTCTCCTGACCTGCCTGCTTCTTCCCTCAGCAGTGTACTTCAATAGTCTGCCTGTTCTGCCCCCCACTCTGTCTCTGGTGAATCCGCTCACCCTCCACATCTCTGGCCTGTACCCCAGTTCTGTATGAATAAATGAATAATAATAATAATAAAACTGCCTTAAAAAACATTACTAGTACTGATCTAAGCTGAACAGTGAAGAGGAAAAAAAAAAATCAAAGAGTTTCAAGGACCTGTGGGACAACAAAAGATCTAAAGTTGTTACTAAAATCCTTTAAGAAAGGAAAAGAGTGAAATACTTAACACATATTTGAAGAAATAAGTACCTGAAAATGCCCTAAGTATGTCAGACTACAAAACTCTATAGATCCACGCAGAACTCTACACAGGATAAATTCAAAGAAATAGGCACACCCAGACACATTCTCATTTATCTGCTGAAAACTAAAGACAAAAATAAATAAACAAATAATTAATTAATTAAACAAACAAACAAACAAATAAATAAATAACAAATTCTTCAAGGGAGCCAGAGAAAAATGTTGCATTCTCCTTGGGAAAAAATATATGAATGACGGCAAATTTGTCATTGGAAACCAGACGCCATAAAGAAGTAGCACAACATTTTTAAAGTACTTAAAGAAAAGAACCGTCAACCCAGAATTCTATATGCGGTAAAAATATCCTTCAGCAATGAAGGTGAAATAAAGATATTCTCAGAAGAAGGAAAAATAAGGGAATGTGTTACTACCAGACTTGCATTAAAAGAATTGTTGAAGGAAGTTTTTCAGAAAAAAGGGAAATGATACCAGAAGACTTGAAACAACCAAAATATATAGCAGCGTATACACATTATTCTCCTCTGGAGTTCTTTAAGACCTATTTGGAAAATTCAAAGCAAAGATTGAAGCATCATCTTTTGGAGTTTTACTGTATGCAGAGGTTCCATCCAAAACAACTGTTAGCACAAAGAGACCTACGAAGTGATAAGGTTTCTACATTCCACTTGAGGTGGTGTGATATTGATTCAAATCTGTCTGTGAAAAGATCGACTGCTGGTTTCAGGAGTTTTCAGTCTGATCCATCCATTATAAAGCTCCCCATCAATTTTTCATCTAATGGTTTTAGCAGCCATTGATGATCCATTTCTTCATTAGGGGTTACAAAACAGACATACTCTAATTCTCTCATTCTTCTATTAGCTAGTATTTGTCAATAAAAAAGAACTTCCCTAAGTCAGCTATTTAATTACTTTTAAATACAATTGATACAGGAAAGAGCAGGGATAAATGTTCAATTTCTTCCTTTTATTTACTAGTCTTCAAAATAATGAGTAAGAAGCACTATTTAAAATGGTAGGTAAACTAGAGGAATTAAATACTGGCTAATGCCTGTTGACCTAAGTTGGAATGAGTAAAATTTTCTCATTGAGACAATTAAAGACAAATATCCAAACATTTAAATCATACAGGGTGCTTGGTTATGGCAAGATTCTGTAGGATGACAAATTGTCTTCAGAAACCACAGAAGTCAGAATATAGTTAGAATGTGCATACATTACACTTATAATGCAATGCATCACACTTGCTTTTTTAGTGCCTTTTGATTCCCCTCTAGTATGAATGCATTACCATAAATGATCTAATCTGAACAAGGAAAAGAAAAAAGACAGATTAAAAATGAAACAGTCTCAGGGACCTGTGGGACAATAACAAAGATCTAAAGTTGTTATCAGCGCTCAGTGTACATACACACACATTACCCCCATGAGGTGACAAGATCCCCTTGCACAGCAGGAAGCTGAGATCAAGCTGATACGTATCCTCAAGGACTAAACGAAATATAAAGGCATATATTCTTGAACACCCAACTCCAAAAAATGAAATCTTAGTAAACATAGTCTTCTTTCACCATATACAATTTGAAGAGAAACCAGAATAGACCGTCTTCCCCTTAGTCATTCACAGTTAGGTGTTAAGCCACTTACATTTTTAAAATGACTCCATGCCAGCTACTTTAACAAGCAATGTTCAGATATCCTGTCATCTGAGTTTCACAAACTCTTTGGGAAGCAGGATCTCAGCACCCCATTTTAATGACAAAGAGATTCAGTAGCATGTCCTACTCATGCTTCGTAAGAGTGGACACAAATCTGAGCCCAAATTTCTCCTGGTCAGGCCCATGTGCTATTAGAGACATGTGTCCTGCCCACAGGCAGGATTTCAGCCACCCCACTACCCACTAAATTATCTAGTGGTGATTCCATTTTGCTGGCATTTGAGACCCAGAGAAAGATGGGAGGAAACAGGAGAAGGTATGTGGGAGAATTATAAACTCTCTATGGCCCCACTAGGAGAGTACAGCAATGACGGTTCCCTGTAAAGACAGGAACAATATGGGCAGAGTCACTCTCCCCGCTGAGGAATTTAAAACAGAACAACAGGCTAAAGAAATCAATCTATCAAAACAATTGCTTAAGAAATTGAAACTGACTTTTTTGGGGGAAAATCTGCATGAAAATAGCTCGCAATAATGAAAGCGTATGTATATATTAGAGGGGAGCAAGAGAGGTGGGGAGATGAAAGAGAACGAGCACAAAATTAAAATAGGTAAGTGCAGAGAATACATGGGTAGCTTTCCCCGAGTCAATTATAGTTACAAAGGTACTAGCAGTCTAAACATTTAAGGGGAAAGGGAAGAAGAAACAGTATCCAAGGATCATATACAAGTACAACACAACTTGAGAGATGAAATATATGAAAGGCAGGGAAGAGACACCTGAAGGTCACTGAAGCTGCTCTGTGTATGTGCATGAAGTGACTTTGCACACAGCAGTGCTGGCAAGGAGAAGACATGTATGTCCAGGCCAAGGGACAGTGAAGCTTAACACCAAGATTGCTAAGTGGTGTAGTGAACAAACGTGTGCATGTGTGGTGTGCATACTGGTATTGTAGAATATTACACAGTAGGTAAAAAGGAACAGGGTGATCACAGTCCAGGAGGATGTATTTTCTCTATATTGTTTGGACTTTGCCCTGCGAAAGAAACTTTCATAGTCTATATGTAATAACATGTAAGTACTTTTTCTAAAAGAATGCAAAGTAAAAAGGAAAGCAAACAAGTACAAACACATAGGATGCCAAGAGGAAAGTCCATCAGAGAGGTGTCTGAATGAGTCTAGAAATAGCTGCTGCTAGCTATGAACTATGTGCCACAAGATGAGTTACTTTGTCCCTTGACAGCTCCACTTCCTGATCTGATAACAGGGACCATCGGAAGTGCCCCAGGCCGGGGGCAAGTGGCAAAGCCCAGTGCATCTGCTCTTGTAGTCAAGAAAGAAGTGGTAGAGAATACAACTGAGTAATATCAGAAAATGGCAAAGCGTGCACAAGCACACAGGTGAGTGTGGCTGGGATTGAAGGGTAGGAACAATCAAGGGATGGCAGTGCCAGAGCCCCGCACCCCCACCCAGCACTTACTGCAGTTTTCTTCATCGCTGCCATCCGGACAGTCCTCAAAACCATTACACCGGAAGCGGCCGATGATGCAGTGAATGCCACTGGCGCAAGGGAAGAAGGTCGGGCCGCATTTCGATTTTGCCTTGGCTGCAAGAGGAAAAAAACAGACAAAAACCAAGACATCAGGTTCAGGTTGCATTTCCAGCCAATACATGTCCACCCTGCTGAATGTGCAAATGGGTCCTTTGACATTTACCTTGATGTCTCCAAAGGTTGCTTGCTACTTCTACTGCTCCTTGTATTAACATTGTAATGACCTTGGCAAAAGGTGAGGAGATGGCGACCGACTTTCCTTATTACTGAGAGACTATGAACAGAGGGTGAAAGGCAAGGACAGATAATGATGTAGCTATGCTGAGGCTCTCTCCCACATTAAAGTAACAGGCGGTCCTGATAAGATGCCTCTAAAAAGTGATATCAATATAGACACCAAAGCTGAAGCAATTTGAGATGCTATGGACTCCCTGCTTTCTTTCTTTTCTTTTTTATTTTTAAATTTATTTATTTATGCATACAATACTGGGGTACAGGCCAGAGATGCAGGGGTGGTGAGAGGCTTCACCAACGACAGAGTGGGGAGCAGAATAGGCAGATCGACAAAGTACACTGCTGAGGGGAAAAGAAGGGAAGAGGTCTGCTGCGCCATGTGGGTCACCTTGGGGGCCAGGAATTGAACTTGCACTGAAGCAGCTGCGGCTAGCTGCTGTGCCTTAACCCACTGTGCCACCAGGGAGGTCCCTGGATTCCTTGCTTTCTGCAGAGGTGGGGGATTGAGCACGACTGTCACCCTGTGAAGTGGCCCCCTGCATTTGAAGGATTCCTATGGCTCAGCACGCGGGGTCCTTTCCACTTTGCCTGTGTAGTCTCCTGCACTTTGCCGGGTCATTCATTACTTTCCCCCCTTTTTGCTAGCAATTTAATTACAGGCCTCTATTATTGTGATGCGGACTCCCCCCCAATAAACTCATTTTGCGGCTACACAGCTTGAGTCATAAGTGAAAGTTTCCACTTCTTGGAAGTTAGTACTCTAGAGATCCCGAACCTGATAAACTACCGCTCGGCTCCAACCCCCACCCGGACCTGAAGTCCACATACATCACCCTCTAGGAAGACAGCAGCGAACCCCTCTGCTTCCAAAGTCCTGAAGAGGCCAAACACCGCCCCTGCACCAGTAGGGCTCAATCAAAATGTGCCGACACAGGAGTGAATAGATGAGTATGAGGATGATGGATGGAGCCTGCTTCCTGGGTGCTACTCAAAATCCACTCCCTGACTGGCAGAGTAATCGCAGTTGACATTCAGTGTTGCCTCTGTACGGGGCGCATGACGAGTGTTTTACACGGATTATCTAATGCAATTCACCCAGAGCCATTAACATAACAGGCTGTCTTTAGGAAGAGTTGCTTGCAAGGTAGGCCCTAGCTGGGTGGGGATCTGGGAACTTGGACTTGGGAAGGGTTCCCACTATTCTCTCCTGAGAGTAGCTGACTGTGCCTAAAGCATGTACGCCAACAGTCCAGTTTACGCAGAATACCTGCTTTTCTTCCAGGAGTCTGGAACTTTGGTCCACGAGAGGCAGAGGGTGCCTGTGTGCCCAGCCCCCCCATAAAGCCCCTGGAGACAGAGTTGCTGATGTGTGTCCTCAGCAGCAAGCACTTCACATGTGTTCACAACTTACTGCTGGGGAATTAAGTGCATCCATGAGACCCTATCAGGAGAGGACTCTTGAAAATGTGACCTGGTTTCCCCTGTGAATTCACTCCATTCACCCCTTCTCTTGGCTGTTTTGCTTTGGATCTTGTCACTGTAATAAATCAGGGTCAGGAGTATGACTAGGTTGGTTTCTATGAATTCTCCCAGCAGATCACTGAATTTATTTATTTATTTATTTATTGGTGGGAATCCCTGACAAAAATGAGTATATTTCTTATCCCCACTTTACAGATGTGCTATGAGGGGGAAGTGACTTGCCCATGGTCACAACACCTAGAAAATCTGGTGTTGGGGTGAGGTCCCCAGGACTCAAAACTGTAGGAGTGGTGCCATCAACCAACTCAACTGCATTGTCACCCTGCCACAGCCTGTCAGTTCTCCAACAGAAGCCAGATCCCTGCTCAAAGCAATTCCTCTTCCACTTCTGCTGTACAAACAGTTTTAACAGAAACTGCTATAACTTGGGCTTGATTGAATGTCCTGCTAACCAAACAGCCCTGTGGGGTGATGTGCTTTCCCGTTAATGGTGCTAGCTGCTCTGGCTGGCGATTATGAGGTGTAAGATCAGATCAATTGCTGCATCCCAGGTAGCAAATTCTACCTGGCTCCCCTCTCATCTCCTGTCTTAAAGGCAGGACCCACTGGTCCTCAAGAAGGAAGGGCAATCTCTTTGGAACAAACAGGCAGTAAATTACCTCCATGTTCCTGCCATCAGTGACATGCTAACTTTGGCAGCAGCTGATCCATAACCAACAGGGTTTTAAGGCCGGGGAACGTGCCTAGGTTTAAAAAAGCCACGTGGCTGTTTCCACTTGGAACTTCTTAACAGTCATGGTGTGTTTGCTACAAGGGCCAAATTCGGGAGAGTCTCCGGGATTTAAATCATGACTCTAATTTTTATCACCAGGGAAAAGTTTGTACCTATTACTAAGCCAGATTTCTCATCAGTCAATTGGAGGGATCACCTCCCCGACAGGGCTCTAAGAAGGACTCAATGAAATCATCTCCAGAATATGGCATATAGTAGTTGTTCAATTAATGGTAATGCTGAGGCTATTTATCATCGTCATCATCATTACCACCACCAGCACTAAGTTTTAGAATTTTATTTATTTTTTAAGTATTCTTAATTTTTTTTACTTATATATAAGTAAAGTTTTAGAATTTTATTTATTTTTTAAGTATCCTTATTTTTTACATACATACATACATACATATATATATGTATGTATGTATGTATGTGTATAATTTTTAAAATGATCCCTGGGATACTATTTTTTTCCCTAATTACCAAAGTTTAAAAAGCTCATTATAAAAGATCTTCACAAATTCATGAGCTGACATGAAGTGGTTTCCAGGATATATTCTCACATGAAAAAAGTAAAGTGCAAATGTATGCATAATACTTCTACCTTCCATATAACAAAAGGATGCAAAAAAAATAAATGCATATATTGGCTCATGTACACAAAGGAAATACAGGAAGCAGAAAGCAGAAACTAACGCAACTAGGGCTATCTTACCACTGTGCCATCTCACCACACACACACACACAAATATTTTACAGATAAGAAAGCTGAGGTCTAGAAACGAAGTCAACAGCACAGGCTCAATCCTAGCTCTTGGCTTATCTGTCTCCTTATCGCTATTTCCAAGTCCAGCTCCAAAGGATGAACCTTTATGAGACAAAGAAAGAGTGAGAACATAAAATAATTACAAACAAAATAGCTGCCATGCAATTAACTAGCTCTGCTCCATCCTTGCACCTTCTTCAGGAGTTGCAAATGAGACGTCCTGCCCGGTCAGCGTTGCTCAGTCGCTGTCTCTGTCGGGGGGAGCACGTCCCATCATGATTTACATCGGTGCCAGGAGAAGCCTGCTCGCACAACCGCCGGGCGGATCACAGACGGCCAACCGAGTGCCTGGCACAGGCTCAGAGAGGAGCCGGCGCGGACTGCGGCTATCAGCTGCTCCCATCTGCGCAACTGGTTCTGAGGGGGTCAGACAAAGTCTGGATTGTCCCTCCTTCAACCCCCATTTCCACATAGGGGACGTTTTAGTGGAAACTTCAGCATTCCCCAGTGGAGAATGATTTCCAATCGCCCCGCCACGGTGGGCAAAGTGGCTGTATTCTGCTGAAGGCGTGCTTTTCAAGGACTCGCTCCATGAACTTTCAAGGCAACAACCTCACCATTGGTAAGACAGGCAGCAGGGCTCCCCTGGGGGCAGGGTTTATTTCCTGATATAAGACCACCCCCTCCTTAGAGTCTGGGTGTCACAGTTTTGGGATCCACAGATCCGTAAACCAAAAAGATTTTAAAATGACTGGGGAGTGAAGGAATAATTTAACACAGCTGCCAACTTTTTATTTTATCGGCAAGGTCATAAGCAAACAAACCTGCAGTAACCCCTAAATCACCATCACCCTCGAGGGAAACTGCTTTAGCATCCAAAACACAGGAAGAGCACAGTCCTGGGCCAGTAGTTGGGGGCCATGTCGGAACCAAAGGGGAAGCAGGAGTCTGGGGACACCAGGTCACGGTGATGTCCTCAGAACCTGCTCTTTAGAGGTAGTTTATTCGGTAACTGATTCTCGCCTTTCACAGAGGAGAACCAAGGATAATTTGGACCTCGCTGCTAGCGCAGGGGTTAAAGACAGCACTATTGAGCTCTCACCAGCCACTGCAGCATGAGTTCAATCCCTGGCCAGGGAGCTGACCCACACGGCGCAGCAGACCTCTCCTGTCTCACCC